ATGACCTTGCTGTTGATGGCTTCTAGTATTCAATAAACTCAAAGAAATTTCCACATCCCTAGTTGTCAATAAATGCTTAAACTCATTCAGATTTAAATTGATCATATAGAGAATATATCAACAGTCATGAAACTTTATTAGGTGTATGTATAAAGTCAATGTGGAATGGTAAAAGCTTATGGACTGATTGCAGCTTATATAGGGTTATGAGAAAATTTGCCTTTCTTTTTAATAGTGCTGCATGGTCATGAAAAGATTATTAATCGTTTCATGGCCTTGGAGATCAAGGATTGTTGTTTGAGATCTAGGTGGAGGCCTGTCCTTGCAGAGTCATACTTTTATACTTGTACAGAGTCAGGAGGAACAGCAGCAAATTTAGAACCTATTGGGTAGTTTGAAGAGTTTTTTCATCACTGACCCCTTAGCAGTGAGGTTTGTAGTTTCCCATAGGAAGCAGAATGGAATTGCTTCTGCAAAACTCACTTTTTCACTGCGAGTGAAATAATGTCCTTGAGCTTTTTCCAGTATAGGGATAGCTATGCACAACAGTACTTCATGGTGGTAGCAATGGGGTATACCAGCCAAACTGGTACTTACACACAGACACAGGAAAGACTCTGCTGATGAAAACAATTCTTGTTAGCAACACTTCATGGTGTCAACACAGTTTTTTGACCACTGAAGATCAAGTGAAGGCCTTTTCTGGAGAAAAATATTTATGTGTAGAAGAAGTGAGCTCTTTGTTTTCTGCTGAAAGTGGCAATTTTGTTTTGTCATTTTTTCTTGTATTTTGTTTTGAGAAGCTATTTCTGAGAAGAGAAAGATTTGTACGTTGTTTTATATTTAGTTATGGACGTGACTCAGGAGACCAGTGTGGAAAAGCAGATTTATACAAGTAATTTAAATAACACAGTTACTTTGCTAAGTGTCACACATTGCTGTCTTTGTGTAAAGAACCAAATGTGTCTTAAGAAAAAGTAAGAAGAATGGTGTGAATAAAGGTGTTAATCTTTGGAAAGATCAGATTTGGTCTCCAGTGTCCTGTTAATTTAATTTTGACTCATTCCACTACTTAGACTACATAATTCAGACTTTAAACATTGTTTTTCATCTCCTACATTTTGCAATACTCAGCAATATGAACGACCTTTTCGGTATCGAAGTCAATATAGTGTTACTGTTCCTACTGTAGAAGTATTTTTTTAATAGTAAATCTTTTTCCTATAAACATATAGTGTAGCAGGTCAAACATTTGTGAAGATAGATATTTCAGTATTTTTATGCCCTTTATATCCTAAACATTTTAGTAGCTTTTTTGATTAAAAAAAAAAAATATATATATATTTCATATTGGAACACTGGTTTAAATAAATCATGAACTGTGGTTTCTTTAGTTTTGTTAGAATAATGTACTTTCTTCAGATCATGGAGTGTCTTTTTGGATCTGTATGTGAAATGTTCTTTTTCATTCTATTTAACTGCAACTGTAAAAACATGAAACTGAAGCTTACGAAGGCAAGTAACTGTGAAACTAAGTTTTCATTTAAGAATTACATGTGTCTATTGGATTATAAGAAAGAATAAATTGAGCTTTTTATTCTGGTAAATTGAGCAGGCTTGTTCTGGCAGGTTCAATGTACTGATGTAATGGTTTTGTGTGTGTTGTTGCTTTTTTTTGTGTAGCACATTCTTGTAATTGGAAAACAAACATCCTGACTTTTCCAGTGTCCCACTGCTAAAAATCACTCTTTAAAGAAGCTGTGAATGTAAATGGGTTTGAAGAGTTGGTTTGAAGTTTGGGATCAGAATAAACAGAAATTTCAAGTTTTCATGCATTTGTACCATAATGAAAGGCATCAAAATCGAGTAAATACTGAGCATGTTCAGGAGAGCTACTCCATGGAAGAAGTATTTTTCCTTCCAACTGCATGAGACATATGAAATAAATATGCTGAAATGGCTTGTCAGAGCTGAAATACTATGTGGCAGCTCTGTTTTCTCTTTTAAGATAGTTTAATTCTCATCTGTCTCACATTAGCATATGAATAACTGGATGAAAAACTCTCTTCCTTGTCTTGCAGAACGTTTTGAGACTGCCTGACTTTCTGCTTAAGAACAAGACAAATACTCAGTTACTGATTTTGTCAGAATTTCGAGTGTTTTTCTTTTGAACCCACTAAATGCCCTAACCACTGGACTACTGATTCTTCTTGGATAGACTTTACTCTTGTTTTGGCTATGAATTCCATACTTCTCTTTCACCATTGTTTTCTCTAAGCATAAAGTCCAACTTTAAGAATGCTGTTAGTCCTCTACAGATAAGGTACCTTCATCACTGCAGGAGTACCTATATATTGTGCATTATACTGCATCTCCTTAATTTCTGAACATGTCAGTGTGTTATTTTTTGAATTTCTTGTAATGTTTTATAATGTGCCTTGCATGTTTGCAGAATAAAGAAATTTATAATTATGAGAGGATGCATCTCATATCACTTTATTTTCTACAGCTGACAGCAAATGCTGAATTTTCACATGCAAATTGTACCTTTAATATTCCATGCCAGAAAACAGCCCCTGTTTAGTAATTTACCTGGTCTCACAAGGCTCAGATTGTTAACTATCGATCTCTGAAGTCTGTCTCCTTTCTTTCACACCTGAGTGTTCTTTGTCTTGTTGTCCATTTGGCTTGCTCTAGCTCTAAGCCATAGTGCAGGTCATTTTGTAGGCTATGTGGTGAGTTGAGAAGTTTGTAGTCAAATGATAATTGAAGCCTTAGCTAAAATAACCATATTAATATAAAATTTTTATTGTAGTTTCTGTCTATAAAATGAGGATACCATCACCATCCAACTTACAGGGGAGTTGCAATAATGCGTAGTTAGAGATTGTGAGGTATTCACGTGCTCTAGTGATACTGACCTCACAGGTCTAGGAGAGCAAAATCAGAGAAATGCCACTGCCTTCGTAGTGCCTAGATTTCCCTCAATTTCTTTAATGAATCAGGCTCATAGATTTTCGGTTATGATTGTTTTTCTGCAGGGAATGAAGTATGCATGTAATGGCATATTATTTAAATAATAACAATTACAGTGTGAAGCTCCCTACCTACTGCCAAGCCTAAGTATAAATCTTTTTTGCACAATCTACAAGGTCTTTGTTCAGTCTTTCAAGGCAATGCTACATTCTGAGCTACTGGAATCTGGAATAGCTGTGCATCTGATTTTGTCTACTGTTACAGAAACCTTTATGAATGATGAACATAAGAGATGGATTAGATGTAATTAATATTAATTATCATAACCATTGATAATGTAGAATCTTGGGTGATTGACCCTCGTAACAGCCCTAATGAAAGCAATGTCTGATAGTAAAATTAATCACAACAAAGCAGTGGCACAACTTGTGGCCATTTTTATGAGGAATGTTAGTAATACTTCGTGTGGTGGCACTATCATCTGTCTGTGGTATTATATATATGTAAATTAAAAAAGAAAAAATTTTAAAAATTATATTTTCCTCGCAATATTCTTTGCTTAAAATGTTTCATCTTGATTCATGTGCTTTAAGTTCATAATTTAAAATTATATAGCTATTTAGTAATAGAGTTACTACAGGATCTCTCTCTATATGCTACCGGTCTTACAAATTTATCAGTGAAAGAAATTGGATCATTGAATACAGTAAATAAGAAAACACAGTTTGCCAACAGCATATTGTGTCTCTGAGGTGGTGCTTTAGTTGTGTTAATATTAAGAATGTATAAGGATAGATGGCTCAAGAGAATAGGAAATAAAGCTGAAGTCTTGGAAATACAGATTTGATCCCTGCTGTTCTAACACTGTATAACCTTTGCCATGTTATGTATTCTTCATGTGCCTAAATTCCCTTTGTGTTTAAAAGACAATAGCTCTGCCGTGCTGTATAGGGTGTGACAGTGATAAATGCTTTGAAATTTTGAGAGTCTTTGTGATTCTGTGGTAATAGGAGACTATACATTGGTGGATGTAATGAAATGTAGAAAAACAAAACAGAAGATGAAACTTTTTCCTTGTAAGAGCTGTTCCTGCTGATTTTGCATTGGAGGCAGGTTTTTTGTGGTTTTGTGACTTTAAAATCAGTTCTGGATGACAGACTGCTTCTTTACAGGTTGTCTGAGGGAAAAAATAAAGGAAAATTTTAGAGACTGTGATAGGGACATTGTTTTCCACCATTCTACTGTTCCATAAAGTTTATTTTTCATCCAAAAATGAATGGAAGTTTAGATTTGAAGAGTGGCATACAGATGGGCTTGCAAGTTCCACCTTTATATGCGTGTGTAATTTTCTTTTTGTAAACGAGTATTTGCAATCCCATTCATTCTGGTGGTGTTAACTTGTTTAATATTTTTGTTATAGAACAAAATTATCGGATGTTTCTGGATGAGTTTCATGGCGTGAATGTTGTCATACCTGACTTTTCAACAAATGAGACTGTTTTAGGTAGGCAGCAAGAAAGATGTTTTTCTAGTACAGGGGATGAATACAGTCACTTGGATTTCAGGAAATACAGTGTTAGGATAATTTTAAAATTGCCGTTCCCTGATATGAGATAATCAAGAAATTTAAAGATTATCCATGTTTTTTAAGTATTTTCTATTGAAATAAATGAGTGAGTGCATCCTAGAAAATAAAATACTTCTCTTACAAGGTAGTATTTTCCTCTGAGTCTATATGCAGCGTACTGGGTTTTCAAGGCAAATACAGTCCAACCCAGACATAAACAATGACTGACTTCAGCAGAATAGAATCCACTGCCTGAATGGTGACTTTAGAATGGGATTTTCTAAGATTCTAAAACAGTTGAGTTTATCCAAGTACTTTTCATTGTCAAAAGCTGTGTTTCTCTACATTATCTACTTTATTCAATCCTTTATACTACAAATATAGCACAGTAACTGTGTAAAAGTATCCATGCTTTCTAATTGAATTCTTTTTCTCTTTTTCTTTCTTTCCTAACTAGAGTCTGTGTGTATTTACACCACCAGGAGCTAAAGAAGGACAACCGCGGCTAATTCCTGCAGGGCCCATTGCACATGGCACTACAGTATCTGCTTATGTAGCCAGATCCAGAAAAACGTTATTAGTAGAAGATATTCTTGGGGTAAAAAGCTTTCTCTTGCTAATGAGATGATTACAGCATGTTCTTAGAATGAATATTTTGATGCTGAAATGTTTATTGAGCTGAATGTGTAATGATAGAATTTACATCTGTCTTGCTACCGAGAAAATAAATTTGTGTTTGGATTAGTTTGATGGAATAACTTCAGAATATCTGATTTATTTTAAGTTCAAAGATTAATTTATTTTGGTCTTTGAACATTTTGTTTTGTTGTCAGATAAGGGAAGTAAAGGTACCATCTTCACCTGGGGAGAAAAAAACCCTATCAGTCAAAACTTATTGTCCTCCTGATCTTGAAATACTTAATGTGCTAATCCCAAACAAGAAGACTTCCATATAGTCAATCAGAGTTTGATTTCATTATAGTACAGCGCTCACACTGACAAGAATGTCAATCAGAATTCAGGTTGTTAGATAGGACTTTGATCTCTACTTACACAAATGTAAAGCTAGGATACTCGTAATATCATTAGACCTACATGAAAGACAACTAATGTAAATGATAGCAAAATTCAGGCCTTTGTAAAAGGATTCAGAAAATCCTAAAGTGATATTCTGATAATTCTTGGCACTCTGTATTTCTGTCCCTTCTAATTTTTTTAAAAACTTCATCCTCTAGTTGCATCTATGCAACTGTATGAAACTGGTATCTAAACAGTACTTTGTAAGAAGACTTTAAGATCAGCTGGTTATGAGAAAACCAAGGAAGTTTAAATTCTCTTCCCTCTTCAGTGTTTTTTGTCCTTTTGAGTTCTGTCCAGAATAGCAGTCTTTGGATACTGTGGCCTAAATTGGACATTGCTGTCTCTATTTTAAAAAATATTTGTTAAAAAATGTATGACCTTTATTAGGCAAACTCGGGCTATAAACAAAATACCAAATGCCTAATGTGAGTACACATAATCAGGACCACAAAAACAAAAGGCAGAAGCTGATTTTCCAGTAGCAACAGTCAGTGCTTTCTATATATCCTGGGCTATAAAGATTTTATACGTTGTTAGGTTTTTTTCAATCACATATACGGCCTAAATTGTTACTGGTAATTTTCAATATAATGATATCCTTGTATATGAGGTTTGTATATTTTCATTTTACATTCATAATAAAATTGGGTTGGGGGGTGATGGGGGGATGGTGTGCTGGTAATGGGTAGTGGGGAGGAGTTTTGAACTTTTTTGTTGGTTTACAGTATTGGTAGATTATTGACCAAACAGAGATTCATTGTGTTGACATGGTTTACCTTCATGTGATTTTAGGACCATCTCAACAGTGAAAGGGAAGTGCTTGCAGATAGACTTGCCAGCTCTTTTTTGGGGAGGTCAGAATTAAAAAGTGAAAGCAGGAGGCTGGTGTTGGAAAGTGCTACCCAGTCTCTTTTGTCTGTTATTTGTTAAAATTGATTGTTATCTTAGTAATTAAGGTAGAGATTACTTGCTGTTTTCTTTGAGAAAGGAGAGATTTTGATCAGCCTTGAAGGAATGTCTGTCTTGCTTAAGCACAGCCTGCAGGGAGCATCTGGTATGAATCAAGTACTTAAGGATTAAGACCCACAAAGCAGGTCTTGCATGCTTCACATCTGCTTGTTACTGCCTTACTAACTGTAACATCCAGGTGGTTTCTCAGGTCTTTGTGTTTTCCTACACGGGGAACTGAAGCTGTTAAGCCCTGGACATTCACTATGTAGATTAAATGTTATGAATTTGGGCCTTTTAGAGCAGCTGTTAGGATTATTTTAACATTTGTTCCTATAACTTTTGCACTGGTTTATTCAGGATGCATAAACAAGGGAACAAGAAAGATTCTTACTCTCATGCATAATTGTTTGGGAACACATTTTCATCCTGAGGAGTTGGCTGAGAATTATAACTCTCTATAACCTAAAGTCTTAGCCTCAGGTTTTGAATTTTGTTCTCCTGAAAGCACTGCTGTCTGTTTTGAAGGGGTTTGGGGGGGGTGTGTGTGTGTGTGTGTAGTGGGGTTGTGGTTTTTGTTTCGGTTTTTACTTAAGCTGGACTTGCATTAGCAATGAAGTGCTGGTTTTGCTGCATGTGAGATTAGAGAAAATGTATTATAGAAACAAACCCAAAGCTGTGTCTAATATCACAGACAATTCTGACTTTATATTGATATGGTTATCTGTATATATAAATTAATGGTGAGACTTTTGTATTGCATTTTTTTAGTAAATGTCTTAATACTGTGTGTAAATTATGTTGAGAGATACAAGTTTTAGCGAAATTTATCATTTTCCTGCAGATTTGATCAGCCAGGAGAGGGAGGAAAGTGTCAGTTAATGTTACATTCATGTAATGTTACTTTCATGTTAATGTTATGATATTTACGTTTTATCAGATTATGTTTACATTTTCTAGGATGAGCGATTTCCCAAAGGTACTGGACTGGAATCAGGGACTCGTATCCAATCTGTTCTGTGTTTGCCAATTGTCACTGCAATTGGTGATCTGATTGGTATCCTGGAGCTTTACCGTCATTGGGGTAAAGAAGCCTTCCACCTTAGTCACCAAGAGGTGAGCTCATGTCCAGCCTTTGCCCACTTCCCCACAACGGTCAGCACTTCAGCTCCCCCAGACTTTCTTCTCTCACTCTTCTCATGTGTTTTTTACCTTTTTCATACTTGTTTTTTGTTCTCATTGAATGTTACTTTTCGAAAAATATAGTGATTTGCATTTCAGTCACAGGAGGTAAAATTAGATACACAAGTACAGGGACACTTCAAGAATTTTACCTTGTGTTCTTTTGTGGAAAAACAGATTCAGGATTTCTTTATAGATTATACACTCAATACAGAGTTGTTAGAGAAGTTAATACAGATCAGGTGACTGAAACATAAGTGTAAATCAAATGTCAAAAATCAAAATCACTTTATATAAAAACGATACTTGTGACTTATCCTAAGTCTCAATTTTAACTTTCCAGTAAAGCTTTATTTTACTGTTTGGAAGATTGGTGTGGGTTTTTGGGCTTTTTTCTGTTTTTTTGTTAATTTTTTTGGTGTGGCTTCTCACCTGAATGAACCCTATTATAAAACATAATGTTACAATGTTGTAGCAGAAGTATAGCAAATCTCAGTGGTAGGTCTCACAGGAGGGGAAAGTGATTTATTTTAAACCAAAAGTGAAACAAAAGAGATTTCATGTATTTGCATTCACATTCTTAGCTCCACGCTCTCTCAGGCACCAAGATGTGTGTCCCCAGGTGGCATTTCCAAGAGTCACGCACAAAAATGTATGTATCCAGGTAGACTCTCCAGGATGCCTTGAAGTGGGAAGACTAGGGATGCCAGCTGTTGTGTCCTTATGTCTCCTTGTTTCTTCCTAGGTTGACAATCATGTGCTGCTTTTGGGTCAGCCTTTTTTTAGCCTTTAGGAGCTGACATCTTTTGTCTCTCTAGCCTGTCCCTTCTCTGTGAGTCATCAAGATTTACTCACCATCCTTTGTCTCCTGACCTAGATGTCCTTAGAAACTGTGTAGATGTGCTGGTGGTACCTGGATGACCTGCTAATCTAGGTGCCATTCATAAAGCTCTCTTCTGCTTTATTTTTCCTTCTGATGCTTCCCCACCCAAATATTCTCATTCATAATAATTTTGTCATTTCCATGACTGTTCTAAACTGCACAGTTTACTGTATTTATATAAGGTCTGTGTAGCTACATTGTCCATATATGTTCATTTGGCAATCCAAAGATATGAGTTGTTAGCCAAGTACAAACAGATCTGAAAATGGAGCAGATGTCTCAAAGGCTATTGTTCTTTTAAAGGTGGTAGAAGTGCATCTTAGATCTCATGTCTGGGGGAGGGTCCTTGTTATGTCCCATCTATGTGTTAAGAATGCTCTCTCATTAAGGTGAATGTACCATTTGTTTCTCGCTGTACCCTTCCCTAGGGAAGGGAACCTAAACACAGAGGTTAGGCAAAATGGGGTGAGTTCTAGCCAGGTATGTTGTCTCAATAGTGGTACAAGATGCACCATGGAGCAGTTTAGATATACTGAACACAAATTATTCTTGTGAAAAGGACAGAAAAGTTGCAGACAAGAGATATTAAAACTAGTCTTCCCAAGGAAGAAAAACCCAGCAATTTTTGTCAATTGTATAGTCTGTTTATCAGTAACCTAAATAGCCTAGCATACCTGTGATGCTCATACATGTATATTAGTTGGGCAGTCAGTGTCACTTCAGCCTTGGTGTCGCACCTGATGTTTTTTCAAAGTAAGTAGAGATCATGATAGGGGATTGAATTAGTCTGGTGGTGCCAGTGTCCCTGCTTGCAGAACAGACATTCATACAAAATCAGGCTTCATTAATTCTGGTGCTTACACACAATGTATTTTTTTTTTTAATTATCCTATTGCATTAATCAATCTACAGTTCAGATAGGTCTCAGACATACATTGGTCTGTGGAAATATTAATTTTTTATGTTGTATGAAGTTCCTTCTGTAACTGAAGTTCATGAATGTTCTACTTGAAAAAGACAGACTACTAAATAAAAATATTTTATTCATAAATGAAAAATATTTTAAGGTCACTTTCTGAGTGTTCTAACACATTCTTTTCATTTTCAGCTTTCAGAAAGCTTTTGGATACCATTAGCAGTTTTTATAAAATGTACGATGTCTTCTGTTTAAAAAGAAACAAATAAATGTTTTAAAAGTACCTTAGGAGGGTATGCAGCAGCAGACCTCTTGTACTTTTGTCCTCTGTGTTCCTATAAAGCTCCCGTGCTTCAAGGACAGGAGATTATGCATGGTAGCTCATCTTAGTTAACTGCAATTTACATGACATTTGTTTGAAATGTTGCCTGGAAACTGTCATACTTAAAACAGTAGTCTTGAGCTGAGAGATCAGGTCTGATTCTTCTGCCACCAAAATGGTAGTGAAAGAAACAGTACCTGTTTACAGCTAGAAATAGCTGTGGTGAAAGAGATGCCCCAGAAAGATGTTATGGGGTAATTTATTTCTATGGCAGATGCCTTTCAACAGTATACACAATGTAATTTTTAAAGCCCTCAGCCTATGGGATGTTTGCTTTGATGTTGTATTTCTGAGCTGATGGGTTCCCAGTACCTCTTCTGAAGAGCCACTGGTAAGCATTTTTTTGTTACAAACAATGGGGATTGTTCTCTTGTGCCTGGATGTACCTTACTAAAATTGAAACTCCTGCAGATATACTAAGTCTTTTGCAAAGTAAGTCTTTCCACAAATTGTTACTTCCTGCCTGTCTAAAACAGCTCAGTCAGTTTGCTTAGCAGCTAGAGAAAACAAGCATGTAAATGATGTGCGGTTTTCAAGGTTTCTTCAGTTAGTTTCGTCTCTTTTGTTTCAGGTTGCAACAGCAAATCTTGCATGGGCTTCAGTAGCAATACATCAAGTACAAGTAAGTGTGAGTGGTTTTTAATTTTTTCATTGTGTAACCCTTCTGCCAGAACTTGATTAGTAGGAACATGGTTTATGGTCAAATTTAGGTGGAGGTCACTACTGAGAAGTTGATTCAAGCCCTTTCTCTGAACCTGGGAAAAATATGCTAACATTCTGGTGTTAATTGAGCTAGTTTTCCTGACCTGCAAGTGTGAATCAAATAACAAACAGTATTTTTACTATTCCTTTAGTTTAACTATTTTTACTATTCCCTCAGAAAGTTTAACAAAGTAGATATATAATCATTAAAGTGGAATTATAACAACGTTGCAGTTTTTTCTTGTAAGAAGGCAAATTCTAGGCCAGCTGGCTGCTTTCCTCCTGCTTTGGTTTGAGGTTATTAGGTGTTGCTGTCAAAGCCTACTTTGAGCCATTCTCGCTAGCTGCTTCATGGTCCTGTAACTACTCTCACTAAGGATGCTTCATGCTGTCCCTAGTCAGATGCCTAATGAAGCTCCACACAGTGCAAGCTGCTCTAGCAAACTCTAGCAGCTTTCCTAATAGGTTTTGTTACTTCAGCTAGTAGAAGATGGTAACACTGAAACTAAATATATTCCGTCAACTCACAGAAGATGCTAAAATACGTTCTTCTGTCAACTCACAGGAAGAAGTTCGTGACATTCTTTTTTTCAATGTGTCTTTCGTACACTTAGAATCATAGAATTGTTTAGGTTGGAAAAGACCTGTAAGATCAAGTTCAACCATTAATGTAGCACTGCGAAGTCCACCAATAAACCATGTGACTATGCAGCACATCTACATGTCTTTTGCTTCCAGGGACGGTGACTCCACCAGTTCCCTGAGCAGCCTGTTCCAATGTTTTAACAACCCTTTCAGTGAAGAATTTTTTCCTGATACCCAATCTGAACCTCCCTTGACACAACTTCAGGCCATGTCCTCTTGTCTTATCTCTTGCTACTTGGGAAAACCCACCTTGGTACAGCCTCCTTTCAGGTAGTTGTCGAGAATGATAAGGTTTCCCTTCAGCCTTATTTTCTCCAGGCTAACAGCCATTCCTCAAAAGACTTGTGCTCTAGACCCTTCACCAGGGTTGTTGCCCTTCTTTGGATGTGCTCCAGCACCTCAATGTCTTTATTGTAGTGAGGGGCCAAAACTGAACACAGTATTTGAGGTGCGGCCTCGGCAGTGCCAACTACGGGGCATTTCCTTTGTTGTGCTGCCACGCTATTTCTGACTCAATCCAGGATGTTATTGGCCTTCTTGGCCACCTGGGCACACTCCTGGCTCATATTCAGCCAGCTGTTGACCAACAACCACAGGTCCTTTTCTGTCAGGCAGCTTTCCAGACACTCCTCCCCAGCCCCATGTAGCGTTACAAGGGTCGTTGTGACCCAAGAGCAGGATCCAGCACTTCGCCTTGTTGAACCTCATACAGTGGGCCTCAGTCCATTGATCCAGCCTGTCCAGATCCTTCTGTAGAGCCTTCCTACCCTCCAGTATGTCAACACTCCTGCCCAACTTGGTGTCATCTGCAAACTTACTGAGGATGCACACAATCCCCTTGTCCAGATCATTGACAGAAGACTTGCACAAAGCTTCCTGCTTTTCTAGGCTGTCATGTTTGCTACCTTTGGTGCTGGAAGTCATTGACTTTGTTTAGGATGGTCATTCACCCTGTCACAGTTAGGCAGAATTATCTGACATAGACTAATACACGCTAGCAGAATTGCAATTGCATGCAGTTGTAGCTTCACTTTGTAACAATGACTCCTTCTTTAACTGAGAAGTCTTTCACACATAGCAAAACAAACCATGGAAAGTTTAGTTTAAGTCTTCCACTGGTCATTTTTATTTCTCTCCCTCCTCCTAAGCGAAGGCTCTGCCCTTCCAAGTTTTTGCATGATAAGAATGCAAGTTTTGTTCTGGCATTGGGCCATACCTACCAGACTCACAGATGGCCTTTAGGAAGTAGTGTATATCAAGAAGTTGTTCCTAGTTATGTAATTATATGCAAGAATAAGTCTTATGGATGTAGGTTTTCATATTTTGCATATTTATTTATATGTGCATTACACAGATGAAATATGTTACAAGTTCTGAATGATATTTTGTTGTGTAAAAGGTACAAAGAGTAGAGGCTTGTTTTCTTATTTTGACCTCAGTGATTGTTCTAGTAATATGCAGGTGTACAATCGTACTTTAGGTACAGAGTATGTAATTAGGTGAAGTAAAAATATAGTTTGAAGCTTTGCTTCAGCTAACACTTTGCTTCTAAAATGTAGTATGCATACTATTTTTTTGTGTTTATATTCATGCTGATTTCTCCCAAAGCTGAGTGTATATCATCTGCTACTTAGCTTACTTAAACTTGCCTGATGTCAGTCTTCAGGTGTATCTACATGATACTTTGAAACCTGGAAAAAAAGTGGTAAAAGTGTGATAAGGAAGAAAGCAAACAAAATATCCTTAGAGCTGAGGGTCCAGATAAGAAGGTGTCATTAAGTTGATTCCATAACCATATTCAGTGGCAGCCTTTGAGACAGCATGAACAAGTGTAACAACCGTCTTAAGAAGGATGTTAATTGCATTTGACAGTTTTAATTTAACAGTTGGATATCTAAGATTGAAACCCAGCTCACAAATACATTTTAATCCACTTAATTTTATACAGTGCTGTAATGTATGTATCTACTAGTTGTGGTATTTTTTTCATCCAAATTAAGTGGGTAGACTGTGTGACTTCAGTGTTCTGGAGCAAATTATGTGATCTGTGCTTCCAGGTGTGTCGGGGCCTTGCCAAGCAGACTGAACTGAATGACTTCTTGCTTGATGTATCGAAGTAAGTGTAAGCTCTTTAATTTCATCAATTTATTTTGATAAGCTTTTCTAACACGGCTCTTCCAATCTACCTGTGTTTTACACTGTAGCTCACAACCAGGTGTGAAGGCACACCTTGGAGGGTGGGCAAACTTCAGCATATCAATAAGAATGAATGATGTTTGTGGCAATGGTGTATACCTGTTAAACTTTCTTTTTGGTGGTGTGCCAGAAAAAAATACAACGTCCAATTTTACCTTACAGGTTTTGTTTACTCTTGTGGTCTTAAGCATGGGGGGTTTTTTCTTTTTTTTTTTTTTTTTCTCTCTTCTTGTGACAGAGTTAAACATGGCCCTCTTTTGAGAAGTGACATACAGACTTGCCATCTGTTTTCATGGCCACTTTTAGGAAGTTTGAAACGACTTTATGAAAAGTCAGTTAGCTTGCTTCAGCTTCCCTCCCCTTTTTTTGACATGTATGTATACATACACACACACACACACACGCATGAGTATATACACTTCAGGGATATATCCTTGAAGAATCGGGGCTGCCACATGATTATTCTTCCCCTGCATTTTCTGAAGGCTCTGTTTTCATTTTCAAAGACTATAACTACATGTGATATATTTTCTTTTAATTTCTTGTCACAATAAATGCAAGATCAAATTAGAAATACAGAATGTGACAGCTTGGGCTTAGACTTGCAAAGTCAATTTAGTGTCTTAGGTGATCTGCTCTTCCTCCATCCCTTTTTGCTTTGTTGCTGCTATTAGCATCTTTAAATAGTAGAGAGCACCAAAAAATTAAAAGACAAACCAGAGTTGTACTTTTGGTAAATCACAGTCTGGGGTACTTACAAGTGTTTATCAAACTATTTGGTTGAAGAATTTCTAAGTGCATCACAAAGGGCAGATGATACTGTGAAAAAATGTCTTGGATTTCTGCTGTTGAAAACACTTCTATGGGCCTTGATGAACAATTCTGAAAGTGATGAGATTACAGGACATCCAAGATTCCTATGCCATTACTCAGGAATGCAGAATGCCGAGTCCACAAGGCTGGAATGGGGAGTGATACACTGCAGGGAGGAGTCTACCCCTTGCAGGGAGGGCAAGCTGGTTGTATCCAGATGTTTTTTCCTAGCTTTTTTCCTCATGAATGACATTTTTAATTTTTTTTTTAAATTTCAGTTTAGGTTCAGAGTGTGTCTCCTAAAGGGCACTCTCATTGTTCCCTTGCCAGAGCTACCCAATTGCTGCAGTGTCTTGCACCATTATGTTTCTTTCCAGGGTGCTTTTATGTTGCTAACATCTGTACTGAGATAGTTTACAAGAGAACTCTGGATCAATCTACCCAAATTTATGGGCTGACAATTTACTCTTGGCACACAGTCCTGGATTGTTTTAAATAACTTGGTAATTATTTTTAAATTTTAAGATAAAAATTACAATAAATACCACAAATATTTAATATGGATTTCTATGAGAAAATACCTTTAGTACAACATTGTCAATTGCTAGAATTGTTTAGTTTTAACAAAAAAGAAACCCTGTGTTTTGAGCCACAAAATTGGGATATCATTTACTATCAACTTTATGAACTTCAAATAGGTAAAGACTTGCCCTAGTAAGAAAATAATTAGTTCCCTCCTAGAAATGGTCTGTACTGTTTCTTACATGGAAGGAGGGCTTCTTATTCAGTGAGGAAATTGTTAGTACGCGGTATCACTGGGACATGTTCTGTAACATTTTAGAAAGGGCATATTATGCAGCACTCCAGCTCTTCGTGTCCCAGACAATGTAAGACCAGTGTATTATATATTTCCTTTCCACTAGACCCACACAGAACTGAGCTGTATATATGTTCAAGGCCATGGGAATAGTGTCGTTCTGTCTGCCGAGAACATTGTAATCCGAGGGTTATTAAGACTTGGCATGTAGAAAATTTAGACTTCTTTTACTTATAAGTTTGACCTTTATCTTTCAATGTTCTTGACTGTCCTTGGACAGTTACCACTTTGCTGTGAAACCGAGATTTAATTTTTTTTTTATAAGTCACAAGATCGGTCTTTTTCTGCAACTTTAACATGCTACACCTGGGTTGATAGAGAGGACTCATTAACAGTGTTATAAATTGTTGCCTTTTAAATAGTGTTAAGGGTTGGATAATATGATGTGAATTTAGCTACATTACTTAGTTTTATTAGCTCTCAGTATGTAGCTGTCTATGCATAAACCTAATGAGATATTTTGAAAGCATGTAGATAATATATCTCAGCAATGGAATAAATTATGTTTCTTTGATCTTTTGGATTGCTTTTCTTTTCCTTTTTACTTCTTTGAAAATTTTCAGTGTGTAAAGGGTGCCAAGGCATTTTGATGGATTCTTGGTGTTGCTCAGCAGGGTCCTATTCAATCCATGGTAGGCAATGTTTGGTAGTCTTTTCCTTTTTTACAGTGAAAATTCTACATATTATAGAGAATATTCTACAATTCTGTCATTGTAGAATAATGGCTTGAAGGAAGAGAGCTAGGACCATTTCTCAACTCTCTTGTGCTATGGTAGGCCAATTAGTGATTTTCAAGGTGCAGAGGTTTGTCCTTGCCTATCTGAGCTCCACTGTTAAGTGGTTGTGAAACAAGAGCCCATGACAGCCATTTGAGAAGTGTTTGACTAAATGCCAATATTTACTGACTTCTCTTTCTCTGCAGAACATATTTTGATAATATAGTTGCAATAGATTCTCTACTTGAACATATAATGGTAAGTTGTCTTTTTCACTTCTAAGTTTATTAGACTTAGTTATTAAAGTTCTTCATTCTCCTTTCCTTGAAGTAAGACATTGAAATATATGAGCTGTTTCTAACGGACACGTAATACAAAGTGTATTAACATCTCTATATGAAAGAAGATGGCGAATGTCAGCTTGGTTTTATGTTGTCTTGATAACTCCATTTCACAGCTTTTATAAGTAATGAAAGGTGACTGTCTCTCAACCAAATAGTTACTATTGTGTTTTAGATAAGGTTTGAAAATTGTAACAGAAAGGCTTCTGGTTTTCTTTTTATTTCAGATTGTTGTACTGCTTCTTTTTTCCTAAATTCAATTTGCTACATGCTGCAAAACACTCCTGTAGAAGTTATTGTCTGTAGGAAGGACTAGAGGTCAAACATTACTCCTAGAATATTTGTTCCAGTTGCTGAATGAGGTGTGCATGACATGACATCCCTTCTGTTTTGCAAAACAATTTACACCCATAACTAGAGTGGCAGAGTCACTGTTTTAAAATAGAGTCATGTTTTATAAAAACTAATAAAGCCAAGTCCATTGAAATAACTAATCAATAAATTAAAGTACATTTGAGAATCAGGTTATAATTTTCTAAATCAGTTTTAAATCCAGAATTATTTCCTGAATAGTGTTTGTAAATACATGTGGACTGGTTGGTTGTAGCACATTTTGAATGTTTGATATGTGAATTATGCTTTTTAGCTTTAGGCACATCCGTTCCATACTGCAGTTCTTTTTCCTGAATGTCAGTCTTAATCAGGTCTGTGATGCTATTGTTTCAATTTGGGTTACTCTCCAACAGTACTCCCAATACTTTCTCCAATCTTCAAAGTGATATTCTTAGACTATTCAGAGGCAACAAACTTAAAATGCAAACAATATTAATGTGGTTTTATTTAGAAACTGGAATTAGTAATGGAAAATATTCTGAGTGTTTGTCTTATTCTAGTTAGTACACAGTCAAGGATTCTGCACATAGGACACATTTCTGAACATTGACTTTTCCAGTTTAAATAACTGCTTAAAAATAGCTTAACATTTAAAAGAACTGGTGTAATACAACATATGGCATTGAGAACAAATATTGATATTCTTCACTGTTCTTCCATATGAATAGAGGTCTGGTGGAAAACACAATTGGCAGTAAAATACGCTTACTCTTTCAGCTTCTTTTCCAACACTTGGCTGCATCGTGATTCTGCATTTTAACCCGCGTAGATGTTTCATACTCAGCTTCCTTTATAAGCTGTAGCAGTTGGCTGTTTCTTGGGCCAACTAATATGTGTTTGCACATTTATTGCCGTTTTATGGGAGCGTGATTTTATCATTATGTGGCTTACTCTGTGTCTCACAGTGACAAAAGAGCAAAACTGAATTTCACCTCACCACCCTTTGGTGATTGCACTTAAAGATTGATTTGTTCCTGTAATAATAAAGAAAAACATACAGGGATTTTAGCATTCTTTTCATTTTTATTTTCATTAAAATTCCTCAGTGAAGTTAATGATAAAAGGGTATTTTTCAATACAGATGCCAAGAGGGGAAGCAGAAGATCAAATTGCCTTGCAAATTTTCTTACCAGTAGTTACAAACAACCTATCCAAAAGGTGGTCCCTGGCCTCCTTGTATGCAATGCAAAGCATACGTTTTGTACTGATAGTCCCCTTCAGGCGCTGGCCTGGATTTGAACTTGGATTTCAGAGAAAATAGTCTTTCTCATCCCATTAACTATTTCTCTCAATTAGTAGAGTTTAAGCAGTTATTTTTGAAAAGCATGAGTTTTGACCAAGGTAAGTTCTTGAATCATATACGTAAGAACACCAGAGGTTTATTGTGTAAAATCAACACTGTGCTATTTATTTTATAAAGAAATCTGATACGGTTTCAGAGTAACCGTACTGGACCCCTTGTCCTTTTTGGCACAGTTTATATTCACTCTGTTTTGAGCAAAGGAATAAATGGTGTGAGTGGTCAAGATCTTTAAACTTCTTAATGCACAACTTCTTAATGCACTAAGTGGGAAATATTTCACAGTTACCTCTTAGCTTGTAGTCTCCCTGATTTTCTACTGCTCTGATGGAGCAAATGGAATAGAAAACAACAGAATCTTTCCAGCCACAGACTCTGTTGGTATGGGAGAGCCCTCCAAGTTTTGTAGAGTTGGTTTAAATGGTTTCTGTGCAGTTCCCATTACACAGCTTGTATGACACAGGATTAGAGTCTCCCAACTAATGATTTATTGTCTCAGATTTTTTCTGCCAAGGTCCAATTTGTTTATTTGCATTAATATGCTATGAAATATTTTAGGGTTTTGGTTTTATTTTCAAAAGAGTAGAGAGAAAGGGTGGTGGAGTTAATTCATTCATATGAAAGTCTTGAAAATTCTTAAAACCTGCATGCATTGCACACCAAGATGTAATCAGCCTCTTTTTGTGGCTGAATGACTAGATAGCTATTATATTTTAAAAAGTTGAGCAAGAATCACCTCAGATCATGCTCTACCATGCAGTTACTATACTTTCTGAACAGATAAGAAATAGAGATGTATCTGAATTGGATAGAGCAGGTTCTTGAACTGGACTATGTGACGTCTTAACACAGTAATCTTTGGTTCGCTCTTTCCTCTCGCTCTCAGAAAGTCCATTGTATGTCAAAAAAACATTTCCGTGAAGAGCTGCTGTGTTCCCAGAATGAGATTCTGTTCTGACAGTGACTGCTGGCTGGCAGTTAGTTTTCTAAGATAAAACTAGCTGGTTCAAAGTATGATAGAGACCATGCAAATTCTTGACTACGGGTGGTACCTTGTGGACTTTGGTTTGTTCATGTAGAACTGCTAAGTCTCAGCTTTTGTGCAAGAAATGGTCTCTAGCCTTAGGGTGGCGCAGCTATTTCCTATACCACTGCTCAGAGCCACATAGTGTCACATAATGACACTTCAAATCTTCCCTATTTGTTTATTGTTATGTATTACAGGTACCTTTAGCTTTTTTAGAAACAAACAATAGCCTCTCTGCTATGTCTTACTTTCCTGGCTGTTTAATACCAACATATTTGCATTGAAGATACAAAAAGATAAAAATGTTCTTAGGTCTTGTTATATCCTATCTATTTAAAATCAAATAAAAGTGAATAATATCTAAACATAGAGAGAGGAAAGGTACCATTTTGAAAAACATTCTTTGTACTTGAAAAACAGTGTAATAGGAAGGCCTTTTTTCTTTTAGCAAATGTACAAGTCTCTAAAGATTTCTGTATTTCTCAAAGAGAAGAACACTCTAATTTTTGAAAAAAACATTATTGAATAAAAGACACACTTTCACTTTGAATTATATCCTAAAAGATTGCTGTGAAGGTGGATACTACTTTAAACAGATTTTCATACTGGATTATTTCTCAAAACTTTTATCTTCTAGGGACTTATGTTTTTATCAGATAAATGACTGAAGGTCATCTAACTCTTGACCGTTAACTCTAGTTTTCTTTTTTGTCTATAGATATATGCAAAAAACCTGGTGAATGCAGATAGGTGTGCACTCTTCCAGGTTGACCACAAAAATAAGGAGTTGTATTCAGACCTTTTTGATATTGGAGAAGAAAATGATGGGAAGCCTGTTTTCAAGAAGACCAAAGAAATAAGGTAAGAGTAGCTAGCAGAACAATGCAGTTTCATTATAACTACGGATGTGCAGGCATTTTATTACCCAGTCTCTGTGCCTATCTGCAGGTACCCTGACAATACTTGTCATACTGTGATATCATTCCCACCAGGACCCGCCTCCAGAAGGTAGTACTTCTGGGAATGACATTGCAGTGCCATCGAAACAACGTCTCTGAAGCTATAACGTCACTCCTGGAAATGCCGTCTTCCGGAGGCGGTCCTTTTGGAAATCATGTTGGGAAAAAAACAGAGGTGTTCTGAGGTAGGTAAAGGTGCAGGTAAAGGTGCACCTAATCCATAGTCTGCCAGTATGGGACTTTTTTTCCCAAGAGGAATTGGAATTTGTGCGATTCAAGCACATCCAAAGCGAGGAAATAGTAATTTGCACTTCTTAGGGATGGATTAGGCATATGTAGAATCGAGTATGGACTGGTCATTTGTGTTGAAGATTTCAGGTCCAATAATTTAATTTTACTTTCTCTCATGTGAATTTAGAGTATTTTCAAACTATTAAATAATTATGATTCTGAAATATGCTTGAAGTGGTGAATTTGAAAATGTATATGGGCTTGTAATGAATACCTAGGATTCTTTGCCTAAAACTGATGTATGTTTCTGTTTCAGACCAAAACTACATACATTTTACACATATGCAATTTTAATGCAAGAGGCAAACATAATATTTTTCAATTTGCAAAAATTATGAATCCTTAATAGATACAGATTGAGATTTTTAGAGACACCCAGGTTTTAAACCTGCAGCTTTTTAAAAAGAAAGAAATGCATGACTAAATATCCTGCACTGAAATTTTGTTAAAATACTCAGCATAGATTTTCCTCAGAATCTTTTTCATTTCTTCCTTATACTTTTCAAGTTCTAGGCCAGTATAAGATGTGATTCATGTTTTCACTTAGACTCCTTTAGACGAACTTACTCCCACTTACTACATTGTGTGAGTGAGAATGGAACGAGTCAAAATTGGTGTAATTTACAAGCTGACAAGCAACGAGGTGGTGTAAATTAAAGAAGGTGGCCTGCTTTAACGTACACTTTAATACTTCTTGATAATTGTTTTTCTTGCTTATATCTTTCTGTTTTTTCTGTATGAAAATTATTGAAACATTGGCTCTGAGTGCAAGTGTGTGAGGCATTTCACTGGTGCTGTATACTGGAAGAGAAGTACAACTTAAGTAAGAAAGTGACACTGAGTTAGTCAGTCATCAGGAAAGAGCCTTAAGTCGGTGTGATCGTAACATGCAGCAGAAGAAACTAACTGAAAATGAGGTGTGCAGTGAAATCCTGTCAGCTTTGTCACTAACTTCATTGAGGGCAGGATACTACTTGGGTACATTTAGATACGTGATTCTTTCTACGTATTTTTTTCCACAAATACTTTTGTGCTTGTACATCGTAACTGTATTATGTCGAAGAATTGAAAATTATTTCCTCACAAGACAGACTTGTAGATTTTTCTGATTCCGCTCCAGAATATATTTGTTGTGTTTAACTTTCTTGTGGTGATTAAGGGATGCAGTTAGTCCCATGACAGTGCTTGCGTGTCGTGAGATGAAACAAGCTAGTTATTCTGAAGCGTACATGGGGCAATTGCATATAATGTTTAGCTTTGAAATTTCCACAGGTCTTTTTCCAAAGTTTATTTTACCAAATCCACCTGCCTTCATCCCCCACCACCGCAAAAAACAAGCTCCATATTGCCTATGATGTGTTTAAAGAAACAATGAATATGTAAAAGTGACGATAAAATCAATAGCTTTTAAAAGTAAATGCAAGTCTCAGGTGCTGTACAAATGTCATATTTATTAGGCATAACCCCCAGGGTTATTGAAGACTGAATTTTTGCACTAAAACTGTCATATTATGGCATCTTTTGTATTAAACTATGTTGTTATATAAAATGTTTTCAGAAGGTGTCTATTAGTATGTGCTTTTTTATTTTATTATTTACTACTAGTTGTTGTCTTGTAATTTTTTTCTCCTAAAAGCATCAAAATGACGCTGGTTGGGAACAAATATCCATTACTGTGCCCAAGACAGACTCCACTGGAGAAATGTTTTTCCAGATAGTTCATATTGTGACTAACGCATTTTTATTTTCTGCAGATTTTCTATAGAAAAAGGAATAGCTGGTCAAGTGGCAAGAACAGGAGAAGTCCTTAACATTCCTGATGCCTATGCAGATCCACGCTTTAACAGGTAGGATGTTATTCACAGGAGGTGAAAATAGCTCACCACACCCATTACTTGTAAATCTACTGCTTAAATTTCATATTAGGATGCATTCATCAAGCTGTGATTCTCTAGTGTGGAGACAACCTATAGATATCTCTTTAAATGCTTTAGCCATCAGGGATATTTTAAAAATATAAGTAAGAAGTATTACTTTTATCAAATATAAATATAATGGAAAAAAAATTTAGTTATTTTTCCTGTTACAGAACTTTGCCCAGTTAGGTAGACTGTTGCTGGTTTTCTTTATTAGCCTTCCTGCAATCTGATTTATTTCAGGGGAGAAAAAACTTCACTAACAAATAGCATGCCTAAGTACCTGAATGTATTCTTTAATTTTATGAATAATATGACTGTACATTTGAGGAACTGTTAATTCTTTATCTTGCAAATGGAGATTAAGGAATTAAAAACTACTTTATAAATTTGACACAGTAGATGGAAATATTTGAGACCTTTGACAGTGAACTTCTTGCAGATACTAATTACATCTACTTTAAAACTATTTAGTATATTGTACATCAACATTTCTGAGAATCAAGGACTAGATATTAATTAATAACATTAACTCTTTCCTTTTTTTTTTTTTCCCTTTGTTTTTTCTGGCTCTCCAGAGAAGTAGACCTCTACACAGGCTACACAACCAGAAATATCCTGTGCATGCCTATTGTAAGCCGAGGAAGTGTAATAGGTGTTGTGCAGATGGTGAACAAAATAAGTGGAAGTGCCTTCTCTAAAACTGATGAGAACAACTTTAAAATGTTTGCAGTCTTTTGTGCTTTAGCCTTACACTGTGCTAATGTAAGTTTTGTTTATATTTTTCTAAGATGTTGGTTATAATGGGAAGACTTAGAATCCTACTTAAGGATTTTGATGTTCCAGATTATTAGTGATTCATGTCTGTTTTGTTGAATTAATGAGGAATCAGCAATCATTGAATTCTTTTCTGAATAATGGTATTTTAAGATGATGATAGGGATTAATTTGATGCTTTCTGAAATAATTGTACTCTGGATACATCAATTTCATGTAGCTAAACTGAGAGAGCAAACTCTGAAATGTGAATGATATCTGTCTGTCTTCTCTTTTCTATTAAAAACTATGATTCTTATTTACTTTTATAAATTCAGATACAAATTTAACTGGGGGATGGAGATGTTATGTATTCTCTTGATTCCATATGCTTAATAATCAAAGATATCAATTTATACATTTATATGCTGTGCTATATACTCATAATTATCCATGCTTATAGAGTGGATAGCTATTTTTGTTTTCAAACCCTTTATCGCCACAAAAATTACTACTCCCATAGGAAGCATAAGCAATGTAATGATCATTACTATGTAAGTATAAAAATGCAATAAATGCAATAAAAATTCAATGCAGAAGAAATGTGTCGTATTCACGGGAGGTAAGATACAATGCAATGCCAGTTAAGCCTGGTGATTTTCATTAAGACATTTTACCAACATCATGTTGGTATACTGGGACAGCAATTTTGCTAACAATTACTTAAACTCATTCCACATGACTCAAGGCAAGTAGAAAGGCCTGCATATAAATGATACTTGGGACTATGCAATCACCCAATTGTGTGTGAGTTCACTCTTTTTAGATGGTGAATGTTACCATTCAGGGAATGCTGCTCCAGAGGATTATCTTTACTAGTAAAACTGTTGTATCCTCACTTGTTTACAAACCATGCCTTGTCTGTGATAGCTATCTGAACCTCTCGATAATTAACTGCACTTATTTTTCACAGTTATTGTATAGTAATGTAGGTATAATAAACATCTCATGTACTTTTTATTGTGCATAGGTATCAGTTATTTCTACCAGTTTATAGCTGAGTTCATGCAGTGGCACAAAACATGAACTGTGCCCTGTTAACAGTTTACTTTCCGGTAGCACATTGTAAGGGACTGAGCTCTGTTTCTAACTCATTAACTTTGATTCTTTTTCTTGGGAGAGCTCAGGCAGAGCGAAAAATCAGCCGAGCTTTAGATGTTTACCTGACCGAGTAGAGGCAAACTGATGTAATAGAAAGCCCAATTTTCAAGAAGTACTGAATTTCATAAAAGAACTAATGTTTGCAGATGTGTATTTTAAGAGTAAGTGCTTGAATACAGGGAAGAAATGTTTTCTCATTTGTTAAAATTTTACACTAATGAATGACTTCCTTTTTTTCAGATGTACCACAGAATTCGCCATTCAGAGTGTATCTACCGTGTAACAATGGAGAAGCTATCCTACCACAGTGTTTGTACAGCAGAAGAGTGGCAAAACCTCATGCACTGTACACTGCCTCCACATATTTATAAAGAAATTGAACTGTAAGTATTTTTCTTATATAGCAACAGTTGCATCTTGTATCAGTCTGTGAAAAAGATAATTTTTGCTGGTTTTATTTTTATCTGCTAGATGTACAGGAGGGTTTTCTAGGAAGCATTTTTATTTTTGAACTATCCCAAAATCATAGCTGTTTATCTCTGGCTTTCTCAGTTATATTTAATGACCTGTGAACAAAATTTATCTATCAAAGATGTAGAATAACACCTACTCAGAATGGTAGCATTTTTCTCAGACGTGGGTAGCTACAGTAGTTGCTTTAAGCATTGGTTTATATCTAAGGATTGTAGAGATGAGCTTACTTTCTGATAGTCCCAAGTCACCAATAGCTCAGATCCAGATAGAAGGCTGAGCTGGAATATCAGTAGCTAAGACCAAATGCATGATCTCATCCCCTTGTAAATGTTTTAGAATAAAAGATTGACCTAATTCCTGGGATTTTGGGGGTTTGTGTGGTTTTTTTTGGGGGGGGGAGTGGGTGTGTTTGAGTTTTAGAGGGTTTTTTTGGTGTGTGTGTGTGTGTTTTGTGCATCTGCCTGTGTTTCTTGAAGGAGGGGAAAATGGATACAGATCTTGACTTCTGAAGATAATTCAGGCTTATGAATCTCAGGTGCTAGAGTTTAGAGTTGCAGCCTCAATTTGGAGGAGGACTTCCCATCCAGCCTCTCAGGCTTCCTCTGAAATAATGTGGTTACATTCAGCTCCCAAGGGTCTGCTGTATACTGAAGATGTACCTCTGTCTGTATTTACCAGTCAGTCTCTATTCAGCGCTAACTCCAGGACTCATGTTTTTTTTGTCACTGTTTCTGTCCTAGGACAAGAAATTCTATTGTGGTGACCAGGTTCCTAAAATAAAAACTCTATGATACTGAGTCACAAAATCTAAGTTGTCCTTTTAAACCTGATCTCCAGAGCTCGCTCTTTTCTGTCAGGTGCTGAGCATTGTAGCTGTGAGTAAGCAAAGCATGCAAGTGTATAGTTAATAGGGGCTGCTTACGGTTAAAGTTCATTACATGCTGAAGTGATTGGCTTGAAAGGCAGAGTATTAGTAGTTTGCAGGATTACACCCTAATAGAAGCTTATTCTTTGCAATACAATTTCTTGTGCTCTGTTAGATGATATTATATAACCCACCTCCTCAGCAAAAATGACTTTTACTTACAAAGATGACAGGTTTCATTCTAAATTATATTAACATCCTTTAGTTCAAGCAGTCTGAATACATTTAACCATTTTCCAAGCAATTCAGCTACCTTCAGCTCTCCTGCACCTGCTGTGCTGTTCAGTGGGCCACGTACACACAAGCATTTAACTGGGTTCAGTGGAAAGTAAATAGAAGACTTGCAGCACAGGAGGTGCAGGAAAAGGCGTTAATTAATAATCAAAGGACAAACAGTTCTGCTGAGTGGGTCCCTAATATGAGGCTTAAATGTCCTAATATTAGGAGAGGGGAGAAGTCTTTAGCTAATGAAACATAAAAAATACAGTATTAAATTATTTTTGATGCCTGGGTTTGATTTCTGTTAGCCAGTAAAAGTTGATTTTTTTTCTTTCTATATCAAAATCAAATTTTGAGTGAGTCTCACCAAATTTGTGACAAATTATTGAAAAAAGCAGTAAGTATATTATTAGAGATGCCATCTTTACAATTCCTGACGAAAATTACAATTTCCAGATGAAAGTCTGCAGTATTTTAGGGATGCTGATAAAGCTCTCATCATCCCTGTAAAACGAAGATTTTGGTACATTACTTAAGCAATGGATTCTTAAATAAAGATTTATGTTTCTACTAACGAAACAAAGCCAACGGCTACCAAAGTCTGATGTGTGGATTTGATGATTCTGAATATTTTTTAACTTAAGTGATTCTGTGATTCTATGAGCATAGTTCCATTGACCTTAGCAGAAATATATTAACTTATGTTGCTGTGAAATATAGCCTGTAAAGTCAGTTTTTTGTGTATATTCAGAAACAAGTGAATGCTGTTGGATATATATTACCTAGTCATTTTCACTTGCTTTTAGTAAGAATGAAAAGGTGTTTGTCCTTACTAAGATGAAACTTTCTTCTTAGATACCACTTTGATATCAGCCCCTATGAGGATGTCTGGCCTGCCATTTTTGTCTACATGGTTCACCAGTCCTGTGGGACAGCCTGGTATGAATTACATGTTTTATTGCTTTAATTCTGTTCATTCAGCCAAACTGGAAAAAAAAATCCCAACATTTACTTGGAAGAAATAAAATCTTCTTTTCACAATGTCAAGATGAAGCATCTCAAATTCTTTTATTCAAAACAGTTTATGCATTTGGCATTTGACCAAAAGTTTAATTTAAACAGGATTAGTTCTTCTGTGTCATTTGCTTAAAAAAACCCCAGTTTTCTGTTTTGATCACAAATTATATTTTCAAATTGTGTTAGATGCAGAGTTTCACTGTTTTGCAGGTTGAATGGATAACAATTTGAATAAACCATGCTTCAAGTTTCAGAGATCAGGGAAGGTTATTCAATTGTGTTGCCTGAACTGGGTAGCTTGACTTATGTTCCAGAACTTTACAGATTAAACTAAGAGCATTGTCAGGTATCTACACTCCTCTGTCCTTGCCAAAATTTGAATAACTCTTGTAATCAGTGAGTCATCCACAATGAGAATCAATCCTAGCAAGAAGAGCAAATCAAAAAGTATCTTTTTCTCCTCTATTGGTTATTTTTCCCGTTGTTATTTCTTGTCTCTGACCAAAGTAATTTCTTTCTAGCTTTGAACTTGAAAAGCTATGCCGATTTACTATGTCTGTAAAGAAGAATTATCGCCGTGTGCCCTACCACAACTGGAAGCATGCAGTTACTGTTGCACATTGCATGTATGCCATACTTCAGAACAACCAGGGGCTTTTCACTGATCTAGAGGTAGGTAAGGTGATCGTATCAGTTACTAGACCTGATCAGAGGTATCAGCTGCTGTAGAAGTACATTTTCTATGCTAGAGGTTTGCTGTCAGCTTGGGCAGAATGTATATAAAGGTCCCGGCAAAGGAATGTGTGTGAGTAGAAAGCCTGAGAAAGGAGAGTTACTCAAATTCCTAACCCTAGTGTTTCCTTCATGGTTTTCAGGTCTGCCCAATGAAGAAACAGCAGCAGACTTGCTATGAGTCCATGTCCACATTTTGAGGTTCTCCCTGATCACTTACAGTCTTTATTTTAATTATTTAACTGTCAGATCTATATGAGGGAAGGGAAACACCCTGGGTCTTGAACCCTGTGAGGTCTGGGAGATCCTGAATTGGAGAACAAGGGTTGCAGAGATTGTTGACATATGTGAGTAAAGGAGAAGAGTAGAAAGGATAGAAGGAAAACAAATTGTCCAAATGTAATAATTCACTGGTTAACTTTTATTATAGTACAGTTATCCTTAGCATGCAGGTACATATTTTATAGATAAATGCATAGTGTTTAAAAAAAAATCAGAAAAAAAAATTACTTTGAATAGATCGCTAACTGGAAAAGTTATAAAATGGAAGGTTTAGAATGGTTAAATGTTAATATACACTATGAAGAACTGTCACTTGGTTTTTTTTTCTGAATTACAGCACTGGGAGTGCTGTCTATTATTAATACTACCTGAAAGTTCTGACTGGGAGAACCTGTTTTCAGTTGTGTATAACTTAGACAATACTAGCCATGTGGGCTGTAATTTTCCAAGCCGCATGATTTCCTCAAGTTGATTCATTTGGGGAAATTTCAGCCAAAATTATTTGGCTCTTTTAGGGAAACATGCTAGGAGAAATCAAGTTTTTGTTCATTGCATAAGAGTAGAATAAAATTTGGTGATCTTTCATTTGGAAAGGTCTAGTTTATTCTGCTGTAAAGCAAGGACTGGAAAATTTACACCGAAATAGGAAAGTGACATTTGCCAGGCATATGCTGAAAGTTGGCAAAGCTGTACAAGTCTGAAAAAAATCAGTATTACTTTAACAACAAAAATCTGTGGATTGCAGCCTCAGGGAATGTTGAAAGGTCTGATAACATTCAGTACTAACCAAGTAGTAAGCCCCATCTTTTTGGAGATGCAGAGTAAGAAAGGCAGGGAGAGGAAACGAGGCAGTTATTAAGAGAGATGGAAAGACTATTTGTTCCCTGCCAAACTCCATCCAGCTTTCACATGTTAGAATACCTTATCTCAGCCTATGTTCCAGCCCTTTCTACAGTCTCCTTTCTTGAGACTGGAGAATAATATAGGAAACTGCTGAAAGAAAGTTTGGGGAACTAGGATGGGCTGTTCTCTGGTGAGGGATGATGGCATGAACCTCGATAGACTTAGAGATGGGAAGTATGAAGCACTATACAGGGGACTCAGATCTAGAGACAAATAGATCCAGCAGTTGGCAATGGTCAAAGATCTGAGATCCAAACAAGGACAACGGGTACAAGGTCAAGGGCACTGGGATTAGGCATTATATAATCCTGAAGGATTGAGACAAGAATGACTTACTGGGATGAGGAGTCTGGGACAAGTGAGACAAAGACAACCATCTGGTATAAGGGATAGACTGATAATTGTAAGACTGGGAAAAACACAGGTTATAAAGGATATAGCAGGAGAATTAAATCTGTGGGGGAATGACAGAAAAGCTCATGCCCTCTAGATCCAACATGTAGCACAAAGGATTCTGAGAGTCATTGTTCTTCTGCTGTTAGAGACTGTTTTTCAAGTCTATTGGTTACATGTCTTGCACCTCCTGATAGTAGTAAAAAGGGGATGCCAGCTTACTACAACTGTTGCTGCATGACTTCAGGTAATACAGGTGTGTGTTATGTTCCTAAGGGTTCCACATCCAACGAGGATCTGTGTGTACATGTGCTGCTGCATCATCTATTCTGTTTGCTCTTTAAGAATGCACTTCACAAGATGCAGTACTGAACAGACGTCATTAAAAAGAAAAGTGAAGGATTTAAAATAGAAGTGAAGGTTTCAAATCAGAAGTACAGTTGGGTTTGCTACAACCTTAATTCTGCAAGTTGTATATTTGTGATAAAATCTTTAGTTACATCATTGTTTGCTGTTTTCCCACAGAATCATATGCCTCAGTACAGTATAAGATTTGGAAGTTGCTCACTTAATAGAGGGTTAATCAGTAGTCTTTTTCTGCTTCATTTTATAGCCTTATCCTTGCCTACTGAATGCTTATCAGAACGAACTATAAAACAGAGTTGTTAAGTCTATAAAGAAACTTTCATGATACTCCAGGCTGACAGTAACTGCTTCACAAATATTAATGAATGTGTTTTCAAAACACACCTTCTGTGTGAGCACCTTCTGCAAGTGTTCATGTGTTTTGTGTGTTGAGAGATTTCAGGGACTCCATTTCTTTAGAATATTAAACAGTTGCCTTTTGTCCAGTGGTTCTATGGCTCATATTAGTGACTTCCTAGGGAAAGTTTCACCTAGTAGGCTTTGTTAGTGTTTTTAAGAAGCATTGCAGAGGCATGTCTAGCATCAGACTTTGGTGCAGTTGCCTTAACCAGAAGATCATACATCTTATGTATTTCCTCCAATAAATGCAATTTTAATTTTTTTTAATAAGCATGGTAAGGATTCAGTGGATGACCGGACTTACCTGTTTAAAACTCTGATTTCTTCCTGAAGCAGAATTCCTCCAGTAGTTTTTGATTGTGCAACAATGTTTGTTAAATTCATAATATATAAAAGGTTTGAATTACAATTGGACTGAGAATTTTAATTTGCACATCCTCACTTTTGTGTTTCTTTCAATTTTAAGAATGTTTCTCCATGGGCTTTTTGAAGGCCGGGCAAGCATAGTGCAGCTTTTACAGTATTTTGGGAAGAGGGTGACATCTAGGGGCAGGAAATACATCTTACTTTTCGTGTTTATCTCTTTTTTTTTTTTTTTTTTTTTTTTTAAATATATATATATATATATATATAGCGAAAAGGTCTTTTAGTTGCATGCCTGTGTCATGACCTGGATCACAGAGGTTACAGCAACAGCTATCTTCAGAAGTTTGATCACCCCTTAGCGGCTCTCTATTCCACATCAACAATGGAACAGCATCACTTCTCGCAGACTGTGTCCATCCTGCAGGTAGGATTATTGAAAATGTTATCTCCTGTGAAGTAGAGTCCAGTGGTGGAAATAGGAGTCACATCATTACCCAGTAGATTTTCTGAAGCATGCTTCATTTAATTTGTGGATTGTAGTGCTTGTTTAGAAGAGTGGAAGTTTTATTACAGCAAGCCAGGTTCCACAGTTAGCAACCCAAACATTCAGTAATAATGCAAAACATAGCTTTTCCAAAATCTTGATGTTATAAAAAATATTGTGTATTTGAAGGTCTTTGCTTATGGCCTTCCTTTGGAGCTTTTAGCCTCTGGGTCAATGAGCATTTTTCCTGTGACCTTATGGAATATGGAATGAAAAATCAGTTTCTCACTTACTTAGATATTTCCAGTGTAATGTGCCTCAACAAAGTCTTTAACCATTCTAAAATTCTAAAAAAACCCTCAAGTACTGGTAAAAGTTTGCATGAGGATCTTGAAAACCTGCTGTAATAAATTCTGTGAACATTAAATGTGTGGCATGAAGGAGGAAATGTTAATTTTGCACGCATGAAAAGTTTAAACTGATTTCATTATGTTATCATGTTATTTATGTTATAAAAAAACTAAATAAGTTAATATTCTGTGAAAGAGAGTTCCTAATGTGAGATAATGTGTCTGTATGTTTAATGAATAGAAAAGTACAAGCAAACATGCAGACACATTTTTGGGAAATCCAGGTGTGCTACTGACACACAGGTATTTTCTAATCGGTGAAAATTTTTTTCATGTTCAGTTAGAGGAGTGAGAACTCTCACCTATGAAACCACTGTCAGTCCATAACATACTTGTGCTCACTGATTTTAGTTTATCATGCACACGCTCAATGCACAGCCTTGCCATGCTACTGTGCCACTAATTCATTGTTAACTTTTCTTTCTTTCTGGTCTTTCAGGGGGAAGATATTTATTTTCTTAAATACCTAATCACCTTTTAGGAAAAATACATATTCTGTATTGTATTCAGAAGCACATCATGTGGTTATGGTTTTAGGTATCCTATACATTTCATCAGGGAATGGAAGCTTTATCTCTGAACGCTCCTCCATGTGTAATTGAGGAGGGTGTAATTGAATCCTTCAGTGGTGGTATGGCATTAGAGTTTTAGTATTTATTCTTGATGTGAGTTTGTGCACAGTGAGAAAGTTCTTCAGTCATTAACACTTTCCTGTCCCACTATGGCTATGTGAAGCAGACTTCAGTCATTCTTCAAAAAACATTTTTCCTGCAAAAATGTAATTGGTGAAAGTCCTGTTTGCCAAGAAGGCAGGGGAACCCTGTTGCTTCCCTTCTACCTCCTAGCCTTGGCTGTCAGTGTGAGTGAAGCATTGCAAATAGGTGGTCAGGCGTGCAGAGTGCATTCAGACACTGGCTACCCAAATGCCTGTGGGTGGTGATGAGCAGCAAAGGCATGTTAGAACAGCCTTTTGGACTTGCTGGTTTGCATTTGAATCAAAAATGAAAAAAAAAAAAAAAAAAAAAAAAAAGCCAACCAACTCACCAAACCCTTTAGGGTTTATCTCAATAGGTTTTAATTTTATGTTAGTGAAGTGCAGTACTTTTCACTGCTTGCAACTTTATAGCTGCTTTGCTCATCCACCTGCAGTTCTCGTGTACACCATACTTACAAATACTGAGGATTCTATTCACTAGCTTTAGGTCAGCAGGGACAGAATAAAATCTTAGCAGCTGTACTTTGTATGTACTGCTCAGAAAGCCTAAGTGACATGCTCAGAAATAGCAGCTTCTGCCAGTACTTAACAGTATCTTTTCTAGTAGTATGAACAGAAGCTGTCACAGTGGTCTTTCTGATAGTGCAGCTTCTAAAGCCTAAACATTAGAATCTAGAATAATTTTAATATTAGGACAAATATCCTGTTCTTGTGCATTAGGCAGCAAGATTGGGAGGGGTCCCCAAAACTTTAAATCGTGAAAACTGGTAGTAGTTGTTTCCTGCTCCCAAAGTGTTGATGATGGGTTAAAATGTTCTGAACTTTTTTTTTTTAAACATCGTGTTTTGTGATTTAGGAGTCGGTCAAAGGAGCATTGAGACATAGACAGATTGTATTTTCTATTTATTATTCCCAATAAGTCTACTTGTCCAAGTAAAAATGTTAGAAAATGGTGTTTACGTTCCGGATGGTGAGAGAAACCAAGCGTATTTGTACCATGGAGGATCTATTTTGAACAAATTATGTAAATGCTTGACAGAAGTCAGGGAAACTTTTTATGAGCTTCAGCCCAAATGCCAATTAAATGTCAAAACACATCTGCATTTGATATATTTTAATAATATTTTCTATTTGTGGATGTGCACACCTTGGCATTGCTGGCTCATTCTTTCTTATTTTTCTCTGATTCCTCTCAACAGTTGGAAGACTTCTGACAAGTTGTTTTCCAAATCTTAGACATAGTGAATCATGTTGACTTTTCAAAATGTGATATAGCTTCATGAGTGATCACAGTATATGGATATTCTCAGTTAAATGAGCAATAATACATAGTGGAAATTGAAAAAAGATAACAGTGGCATGTTGCCAGAACCTCCATAGTGGAAACCACTGTCTTTAGCTCATGAGTCAGTCAACTCATGGTTGAACAAAGCAGCTTTTCCCCTAAATGTTCATATACATTAAAGCACTGTAATTAACTTTATTTCTATAGAGAAAATTACATGAGTAAATGCAGCAATTTCAGGCACATTTCATTTGGAACACTATGAAAACAAAATTATTTTGGTACTTTAACTTGGATATGTCCTTGTCCACATCATGCGTTATACAAAATTGTACTTCTGAGTGAATCAGACACTCAGTTTACCGACTTGGCGATGCAGTACTCTGGATCAGGATTGAATCACAAGTTCCCAAGCTAATACTGTCTGGAAGTGCTGTGTCTAAAGTGTTTATAAATCAGAGAAGAAAAAGCTACCATTTTTCTCTATTAATAACTTTAGCTTCAGAAGGAACAGTCCCAAAACCAAATCAGTGGCTTAGTCATAGGTTTCTTGACAGTATTTAAAAGGAAAGATAAAAATGGGAATTTCGGACTGTCAGCATTTGAACTTGCAACAGAAATTGTCATTGGTCTGTAAACCGTTGTAATCTGTCTTGTGAAGTAAAGACTGAAATCATCTCAGAATTAGAGCTTGTGCTTTTTATTGGTTTTTTACTTTTTCATAGCTGGAAGGGCACAATGTCTTCTCCAATCTGAGCTCCAGTGAATATGAGCAAGTACTTGAGATCATCCGGAAAGCCATCATTGCCACAGACCTCGCCCTCTATTTTGGAAATAGAAAACAGCTTGAAGAGCTGCATCAGACAGGAGCATTAAACCTTAAGAACCAAGCACACAGGTAAAGCAGCAAACTAGCATTAGTTCACTATGGCATTAGTCATAGAAAGAAAAACCTTATTTTTTGAAAAGAATTTCTGTGTCCACAGTAATTATCTTATATATTAGATTTCTAAGGCCAGCTGTATCTAAAAATCCAAGTATGTAACAGGAGTTTCCAGTATTTTATATTTGCATGCCGCTGCCTTTGGTTGTCATCTGCACAGTTCAGTGACAGATCAACTGCAGAGGAAACTTAGGGCACAGGCAGTTAGGTGGTGGGGGAAAAAAGGAATAGTGCAATAATTATCTCAGTATTTTTATTATTCTGTCAATATACTTTTTTTTGGAAAGAATTCTGGTCAAATCTCAACTTTTGTGAATTAAGAGAGCTCTAAATTTTAAACATATACGAATGCCTATATTCATAAATAATGTCTCTGTATAACCAAAACATAGTGCACCCTGGATTAGAGATGTGTCTAGTAACAGGCTTCATTAAAGTGCTCATGCAGCCCTTCAGAGTTCTTTAATGGAAAGTGGATCCTGTCATTAATCTAATGCAGAGGTGATATGGGAAAATATTGAGTCATGGTTCCAATTTATTTTCAAAAGGGACTTTGGTACTTGGGTCTTCTTTCTGAGGAGTTTTACAGGATTTTGTCAGTAGTTTTGAATAAATTAATACAGCACTGTAGGAAGGACACTTTTGAAAAAACTTATTTCCCAATATGGAACTGAAGCATCAGACCTGAATAAAGCTCAGCATCTTGAAAAGACAAAGATATTCTAGCTTCTGATAATCTCAGAATAAATTTTACCAGAAATCTTGAATTTAGGGTTTATAAAATTTAAATAGGATCACAACTGTTTAGTTTGTAGTTGAATATTCTATTGCGTTTATAATTTTTTTTTCTTACCTGCCCTCAAGAATTTTCAGTGTAAAGCCACATGTCCGGAGATAGGACATCACTTTGTAATGTGGCTAAAGAATCCAAGACTTATCTGTACATAAAAAGAAATGCCAAATTTGGCCCTTATGTGGCTGATGAATCCTCTTTCTTAACTCAGGGGAATTGCACTTTGCCATTTATCTATTGAATATATTATCCATTTGTGTATTTTCCCTGATATTTTTGCCTTTTGGCACAGTTTTTATGACTGCATCACATTGGCATGCAAGTTAGAAAGTTGTGCGTTTTTTCATGGAATAGGCATTATTAACAATCATAGAGGTGTCCTGAAGTGTCACCTTCTCCACTGGGTGGAAAACCATGATTTCATTAATTTACCAGTTTTCTTTATAAGACTTAGATTCATAAACCATACATTCGAGTAGTAGAAGAGTGCTAGAAAGGTGTTTTAAGATATTTTTTTTTTTCGTGTGCCTTATTCTAATACAGATGATAATCCTCCTGATACTGTTCAATTATTCTGTGAACAGGTTTGTTAGTGTACAGGACAGCTACATGTAGGATTGTTGTTCTGTCAGCATTAGAATTCATTCCAACAAAACAATGATGGAGTACCTTGAGTGAGATTCAGTAGTTTTTCCTCTTTATGGAGCATGTGTTCCTCTCTCTTTAAAGAACAGAAATACAGCCACAGGATATGCCATCTTTCTTTTTATAGACTACTGTATTTTCAGAAAATTAAAGAGGGGCACATAAATGTTTTAACATGCAGACATTCTTGTGTAGTTTTGTACATCTAATGTGACTGTACAGAGGATACTTAGTGAACTCTGGTTGCAGACAATGCTACCAGGGGAATACTACAGGGAATATAATACACAATTTGTGTGATGCCTTACCAATGAATCATAAACAAGTAAGGAAGAAACAAGCAAGGTGGGAGAAATTTTGTCGTATATTTACTGCTGATTGAGCTGAGGAAGGGCAGATAAAAACTTTGTAGTGTGATTATTAATTCTACAATTTAATGTAATTTTATTTTAGAGATAGAGTGATTGGTCTGATGATGACAGCTTGTGATTTGTGTTCTGTAACAAAGTTGTGGCCAGTTACCAGACTGACAGCTAATGATATATATGCGGAGTTCTGGGCTGAGGTATGTGCACTTCTTTTGTTTACACTCTTTTCTTTATAAATGTAAGTATCCAGGAAGGAAAAACAACCATAAGTATTTTTCAATTGATATCTTAACGTGCTTGTTTTAAAGACTGTTCATTGGTGCATGCATGTGTTTTGTTGTTTAATCCAAAGCTATTTAAAAACCCAAGTTAGTTTCCTTATTTTCAGGCAGTGTTTTTTCTCTATGTTAAAGATTAATTTAGAAAGTATGTCCTAACGTAAAGTGACCAAGCAACAGAATGCAGAAGAAAATCTGTAAGTTTTGTGAAGGTTGTATTTGTATTCTAAGAAAACCAAAATATGAAAACAGCTACCAGGTCAGCTGCCTTGAAACACACTTATAAAGCTGTAGTACGATTCCAGGAAATGCTAAAGCAAATATGACAAACCTTAAAATTGCTCTGATCCAACTATTTGAATCTTCTTTGTGAGTCAGCTCAACAACTGGGTCTCGGAAAGAGCTGAGTTTTTACTGAAAGTTACTCCACGGATAAGGTGTACCGAGAATTGAAACAAGGCATTGTGCCAGGCTAATGCAATCATGTCCATAAATAAAGATGCAATCTCTCATGTGTCTTATGCTGAGTAAATGTTCTAATGGATTAATTCTTAAAAGTGCCAGTGACTACTTGAGGGAAAGGAATATATTCTGAAGGTGCTGCGCAGAGTTGAATTATACAGTTTTAGAAGATACGCTATATTTTCAGAACTGCTGTTACACATGTGTATTATAAAGTGTTCTTTTCTGTTATGTGCCCCGTGGGAGTCTGCAGAGTTCAGTGGGTTTATTTCTGTTTTACACAGGTTAAAATGGAAATCAGGCCCACAGAGTTGACGTAGCATGCATGTAGTGTGGAGATTGTTGTCCTGCCTGTTGCATGTTCATTATGAAATTCAAGATGTGCATGACTTGTGGGTGTTTTTTATATTTACTTGTTCTCATTCTCTTAATTATGAACAGCTCAGACTGCAATAAAATATTTGAAAAATGCAGTGTATAAGGTCAAAGATCTAGTTCAGCACTCGCTTTCTAAAATGTCAGCACTGGAAAGTGAGTGTTTTTATGAGTGAGATAATGGACGTATAATGTTGATGTGCCTCACTGATTACATACTCAACTTCTTTGCTTACAAGCAAAGAGACTTTTTAATGCAAATCTTATGAACTCAGTGGAGAAAGAAGGATCAAACTGATTTTTCCTACTCAACAATAGTGAAGATGGAATTATGGACATAATTGAGCCTGCCCAGACTTGAACCTGTTTTGTAATCCAAGGATGAGTTAGTAAGGGTAGATCTTGTTATACTGCTACTTCATGAAGCAGAACTAAATTAGAAGTTATTGCCAGAAATGGAATTCTGTAACTGGTGTTTTACTGAATCCTCATTAAGAAGAGGTCAGTTGGTATGTGGCAGAAATTGAGTATGTTGTGATACAGTCAGGATGGCTGATAAATCCAGACACAGGTCTAAACCCTTCTAGAAACTGGAAAGCTGGAGGCAGATATAGGGAAAATCCCGAGAAAGTTAAACCAATAGAAATTTTAGATTGTGTTTCGCTGAAGAAACTGTTACTTAATTGGGAAAAAAAGGTTAACTCTTGAATGGTTATGTTACAGTTCTAAAAGTAGCATAGAATGTTGCTTCTAATTACTACTTGAGTTCTTAATCTTAATATGTTGAATGATTTAATCAGAACGTTTTCATAGTATTTCTTCTTTGTGTAATCATTAACTAAAACAATAATTGCAGAAGAGGTTGCAGCAATTTTGTGGTATGCCACACTGATTTTTTTTCATTGAATGAAGCCCAATATAGCTAATGTCTTCAGCTAAGATTTACCTTGATATCACTTCAGCATGAAGCTTTCCCACAGTGCTACAACTCAAGCAAATTAATATATTTGCTGATCAATTACATAGGATTACAAGACTGTATAAGATTTGTTTATTGTGATGGGGGGGGGGG